TATATTTAATTATTTATTTACATTTTTTTAATTTTTTTTTAGTTGTTACAGGGATGAGCTCAATGTACTCTTCATTGCACTCCTTCTGTGCAGAGGTTGATGTGGACTGCACTATATATAACTATAATTTATAATCTTGTTATTAAAAAAAGTAGACAGAGATCAGAGCATTAAGATAAACTGTAGAAAGGTAGTTGAAAAAGGTCTATTTGTGAATGTTTTCACACAAGATTCCGATAACTTTCACCCAGCATTCACACATTTTTTCAGTTAAATTAAAAAGTGAGGTGAATGTCCTTTTTGGAAGGTTTTATTTATTTCATCGTTTGAATTCTTTCTATTGCAGATTTTCTTAGCAATAAAACCCAACAGGAGTTTCAATCCTTCCCCCACTCTATCCAAAACTAAAAAAAAGGAAGTTTTGTCTAGACATGCACTTTAAATATAATGCTAAAAAAAATGCAGAAAATAGATATAGTGTATGGTATTGGCAGACACTGTAAAAAGGTTTTAAAGCACAATTGTCATGTATTTAATCTTACTAAAGTGCCCTAGGATTAAAAACTTGGCACCTGGAAGTGCCTGTACATGCCTTTGAAACTCTCATCAAGCGTCGTAGGTGTTCCTAGTCCCTGGTTCCTCTTTTATGAACATTTTGGCACTTGCTGTCATTGTCCAGAGCTGGCCTTCTCCCTCCTTACTCCCTCTCCTTTCTTTTGGCCCATTACTGTAAGAAGCTGTCTTACTGGACATTATGAAGGTGCATGAGAAGATTTTTTCGGTAACCAATACCTGCATTTTAGTCCTGAGCCCAGTTTACTAACATTTAGACTTTAAAATGGGATTCATGGAAATGTAACATTTCTTCAAATTAAAACACATTAAAAAGTTTAGTTTATGTCATTACACAAGTAATGTTTATTAAGTGTATTTTATTCTTTTTCCAGGGAATACTGCAAATGTCTTTTCAGTCGATCCAGTATTGGGTATTATAAAGACAACAAAAGAACTTGATCGAAGCATCCAAAGTCAGTATGAGCTGGTAATTAAAGCTTCAGACCATGGAATACCTACGATGAGCCAGATAACGTCCGTACATATCCTTGTCACAGTTTCAGACAATGCAGCCCCCAAATTTATGAAGAAAGAGTACTCTGCTGAAATCAGCGAATCGGCACGAATTGGAAGTTTTGTAGCAATGCTTTCCACTCACAGCCAGTCTTCGGTTACTTACGAAATCAAAACCGGAAATATACGGAATGCCTTTGAGATAAATCCAAATTCAGGTGTTGTCATAACTCGAGACCATCTTGATTTTGAAACAATGCAATCTTTTACTCTTTCCATTCAAGCTACAAACATGGCTGGCTTGTCATCTAATACAACACTTGTTGTACATCTTCGAGATGAGAATGACAACTTTCCAGTCTTTGTGCAGAGAGAATACAGAGGACTTATTAGTGAATCTGCACCAGCTAACAGTGTTGTCCTAACTAATGAAAACACCCCGTTGGTAATTCGAGCCACTGATGCTGACAGAGACACAAATGCTTTGCTTGTTTATCAAATCGTCGAGCCATCTGTCCATAAATATTTTGCCATTGACCCCAGCACTGGTGCGATACGCACATTAGTCACATTAGATTACGAACAGACAAATATATTCCATTTCACTGTTCAAGTACATGACATGGGCTATCCACGACTGTTTGCAGAGTACTCAGCCAATGTTACAGTATACGTGGTTGATATCAACGACTGTGCTCCAGTGTTCTCAAAAGAGGTCTATGAAGCCTCCATATTAATACCAACATACAAGGGGGTACGGGTTATTACAGTTAATGCAACAGATGATGATTCCGGATCATTCTCAGACATCATGTATTCTATAGTTGAAGGTAACATTGGAGAAAAGTTTGCTATTGACCCTTTCAAAGGTGTAATAACTATCCAAAACACCAGTCCTTTAAGGAGTCGTTATGAACTAAATGTACGGGCTTCAGATGGACGCTTCTCTACCCTTGCATCAGTGAAAATTATTGTGAAAGAAAGTAAAGAAAGCTCATTGAAATTCACTCAGCGGACTTACTCTGCATTCATTCAAGAAAATACAACTCAGATAAAAACATTAACTGTTATTAGTGCAGTTGGCAGTCGCATCAATGAACCTTTGTTTTTCAATATTCTCAACCCAGATATCCGATTTAAAATTAGCCACACTTCTGGTGTCCTATCAACCACAGGTATACCATTTGACAGAGAACAACAGGATCTGTATGAAATAGTTGTGGAGGTCACCGATGAGCAAAAGCCACCAAGAGTCGTGCATGTCCTGGTAAAAGTATTTGTTGAAGACATCAATGACAACAGCCCCGTATTTGTCAATCTTCCATATTATGCAATGGTACAGGTGGATGCCAAAGTGGGTGATATTATCCGCTATGTTACTGCTGTAGATAAAGATATTGATAAAAATGGAGAGATACATTACTCTCTCAAAGACTATTCTCAGCACTTTCAAATAGTGCCATCAGGTGCTATCTCACTGAAAAAAGAATTTGATCCCGAGGAATTTAATAAAGAATATGTTATCACTGTTGTAGCAAAAGATGGTGGAAGCCCTTCCTATTCAGCCGAGGTTATTGTTCCAATTACAGTAATGAATAAAGCAATGCCAGTCTTTGAAAAACCTTTTTACAGTGCAGTAATAGCGGAAAATGCCCAGCTCCATAGCCCCGTTGTACACATACAAGCCAGCAGTCCAGAAGGTCTCCGAATAATTTACAGCATCACAGATGGCGATCCATTCAATCAATTTAATATTAACTTCAACACAGGTGTAATTATTGTATTTGCACCTCTTGATTTTGAGTCCCACCCAGCATATAAACTGAGAGTCCGAGCAACAGACTCTGTAACTGGGGCACATGCTGAAGTTTTTGTTGATATTATCTTAGAAGATGTAAATGATAATGCACCCATGTTCAAGCAGAGGGCATATTCGACTACCTTGTCTGAGGCTTCAGCAATTGGAACATCTGTTTTACAAGTAATGGCCACAGATGCTGACTCTGGTCAAAATAAGGCCATTTCATACCACATAGTGAGTAACCATGGCAATGCTTCACAATATTTCCACATTGATAGCAATAGTGGACTCATTGCAGTTGCCAAGCCACTGGATTATGAATATTTGCATGTATACAGTTTTTTAGTGAGGGCAGTGGACAGCGGAATTCCTCCCTTAAGTAGCATTGCCACTGTAAATGTCAATGTTATTGATCTGAATGATAATCCCCCAGAATTCACACAACTGGTTTATGAAGCTAGAATTAGTGAGCTTTCAAGTCAAGGAAGCTTTGTAACTTTTATCAAAGCCACAGATCCTGATAGTTATGACACTGAAAAATTAGAATATTCTATTCTTTCTGGCAATGAAGATGTGAATTTTGTTATTGACAGCAACAATGGAATAATACGTGTTTCACACTTAAGGAAAAATATTCTACAAGCATTCTACATCCTCAATGTCTCTGTTTCTGATGGCGTATTCAGAAGTTCAGCTCAGGTACACATCGCTGTAATAAGCTCCAATTTGCATAGTCCTACATTCGGACAGAGTCAGTATGAAGTAGAACTTTCAGAAAATTCTCAAGTGCATACCCTTGTGACAGAACTTAAAGCTATTGATGAAGACATTGGAATCTATGGGCAGGTCACCTACCACATTCTAAACGAGTATGCTAAGGACAATTTTTTCTTTAATGAGAAAGGACAGTTGTTTACAGCAGAAAAACTTGACAGAGAAAGTCCAACTAACAAAGTCATCCCTATAAGTGTAATGGCGAAGGATGCTGGTGGAAAAGTTGGGTTCTGCTCGGTCAGTATCATTCTAACAGATTCTAATGACAATGATCCAAAGTTCCGTGCCTCCGAGTACAAGCTGAGCATTGCATCTGATATTCCGCGAGGTTCTACTGTTGTTAGAGTCTTGGCTTCTGATGGTGATGAGGGTGCAAATGCTGATATATCATACAGCATTGTGGCAAAGTCTGAAAGTGTTGCAGAAAATTTTGAAATCAGTCAACATTCTGGAATCATTACCACCAAGGAAAGCTTAGTTGGATTAGAAGATGAAGTCTTTTCTTTTTTTGTTCAAGCAACTGATGGTGGGTCACCACATCGAGAGAGCATTGTGCCAGTTATGATTCAGATCCTTCCACCTGAAGTGCAGCTGCCAAAGTTTTCTGAGCCTTTTTATACCTTAAGTATCTCTGAAGACACTCCAGTTGGTACAGAGCTGGATGTTATCAGAGCAGATAGTAGTCAGCCTGTAATCTATCATATCAGGAAAGGAAATACCCTTGAGAGTAATGTTGATGACATTTTTGTCATCGACAAGCAAAATGGCCGGCTAAAACTTGAGAAGATGTTGGATCATGAAACAACTAAATGGTATCAGTTTTCAGTGTTAGCTCAAAGTATTCATGGAGAGCATGAAGTAATTACCTCTGTGGATGTTAGTATCCAGGTTAAAGATGTCAATGATAATAAGCCTGTATTTGAAGCTAATCCATACGAGGCTTTCATTGTGGAGAATCTTGCAGCAGGGGCTACAGTCATCCAGGTTAAAGCTGTCGATGTGGATTCAGGATTCAATGGACATGTTTCATATATGCTGGCACCATCACAGGAGCCGCAAGAAATTAAAGATCTTTTCTCAGTAGACTTGGAAACTGGATGGGTCACCACTCTTGCTGAGCTTGACCATGAAAAAATAAACAAATACAACATTGTAGTGGTTGCTTATGACCATGGTGATAAAGTGCTGTCATCATCCACTATAATTGAGATTACGGTGATGGACATAAATGATAATCCTCCACGCTTCAGTGCAGAAATATACAAAGGTACAGTGAGTGAGGATGACCCTCTAGGTGGTATTATTGCCATTCTGAGCACCACCGATGATGATACTGAAGATATCAATAAAGAAACTACAATGTACATTACAGGTAAATTATTTTCTTTTAAATATTTCCCCACCACTAAACATCCAGTAAGTCAGTATACTGACAAAATACTATGTAAAAAAAAAAGAAAACAAAAAGAGTTATATAAGCACTCCAAGCTGTGGTCACATGCACATATGTCTCTAGGCTTAGGCAATTGGGACGCAGTGTATAGCGGTGAGACTAGTTTTCCTTTAACAGCTGGATAACAAATGTTATGTACCCTTGGTAAGAAGTTCTTTACAGTATACCCAGTATTGCTCCACATTCAGCTCAATTGGATTCAGTACACAAGATACAGTAAATTTAGACAAACACTCATTGGCCCTCAGGTAACTGTGTTTTCGCCTCCAGGCAGAAAATACATTCCACTCACTTGGAGTGTTTTATAATATAGCTGTGTCACTTTTAAACTATGTTCTATGTGATCAGTCATTTGCTGATTTATTTTTTAATGTGTATTTTTCATGGCTGTCATTCTTATCTTGGTTTTACTACCCAGTGAGCAAATGACTTAGAACCAATAAATAAAAGACCAGACTTCCCATTCTAGTGACTTACAAGATAGTAACACCAAGTTTCAGAATGACAGCCCTTGAGCCTGCCCCTTTACAAACAAATCTGCCACAGCAGATTCCATCTTTGTATGCTCATAGGTTCCCTTTATCAGAAGCTAAGTCTGTTACTTAAAGGAGAAATATGGGGTTAAGGCTTTTCCCCATAGTTCCCCTTAGGGTAACGGGAGGACACAAACTAGCGTCCTCCCGTCATCCTAAGCTCAGTATACCGTGAGCTACTCGCGGTATACGTAAGCGCCGCAGCTGAAGCAGAGCTGGACAATTATGTCTGGATCCGCCCAGCTGCGTGAGTGACAGCTGGCTCTGGCTATCTAGAGGCAGAGCCAGCTGTACCCGCCCCCTCCACCATCCGATCTGCCAGTCAGCGCTGGCGGATCGGAGCGGGGGGGAATCCAGCCCCTCCCCTGTCACAGCAGAGAGCTGTGACAGGATCAATAGGTGAGCGAACGCCGGTATGTGTTCGCTCACTTCTCGATCTACTGAGCCGACCTGTGACAGTCTCATTGTCACAGGTCGGCTAGAACTATGAGGTGAGTGAAAAGCACTTACCTCATAGTTCTCCTTTAAGTACTTAATTCTAGGAAAGGATCATCAGAGCTTGATGTTATTGTAAAAATTGCAGCTTACAATATTTAATTCCATAGAAAGGGGCCACAAAACATCTCCTGAAACATATAGCTGAAAAAGTAGGTAATAAAATGTGACCTCTGAACTGGAGAACAACTATGGGCAAATAATTTTATTTAACTCTAAATCACTGAGGGTGAAGGAGAAGGAGCAAAAGGGCCACATGCAGCCTATAAAACACAGGTTTAAATGTCTAATGTTGTTTTTCACCTTATTACTTGTAATGTGTTTATATATGTGTATGTGTATATATATATAATTATGCTTTAGAATAAGTGCCTTTATTATTTTTGATGTTTATTCAATTATAAACATTTTCTTTTTTAATTATACATTTTTTTTTATTCTTGCAAATTAAGAATCACTTAGGTAATGTTTCAAAGCTAATTATGTTCAAGTTATTTGAAATAATGGCTTTTATCTTCTTTTCAAATGTAGAGCTTTGTTGTTTAACTTTCTCCTCTCCTAGGCACCTCAGTGATATATCATTATGTATTTGTCTTCCAAAAGTCCCCAATTTTCACTTAAGACATTCTTCTTTTCATCACATGATAATTAGTAGCATTTTTATTAGTCTTGCTGGAAGAGCTGCATCATTTACAGTTGAATTGCTAATCAGGTTCACACTGCATAATGTCTGTAGTGGCGTTATGTCTTCCACTAGTGATTATTTATGCATATTTATGCCTGGTTCTGAACTTTGTAGACCTCGGTGTTTATATCCAGTAAAACTTAATTGCTGGCAGCATGTACCAGAGTACTACTTTAGGCCCATTTCACAGGAATTAGCTTGTAAACACTAGTCTGAAGAGTATCACATTAAGCAAGCCTTTACAAAGCACCTAACAAGTTTCAGGCAGCTTTCTGAAAGCCCTTAAAGCACCCTTCTGCAACAGTGTGGGAATCCTTGAAGCAACCATGTCAGTATAAAAAATAGTGAAGAAAATCACTTGCCAGCAAACCAGGTGACAAGAACGTATTGAAGCGAGATATTGCTGATCCCTTTGCGCACAAAAACTTTATCCTGTCAACAGTGACAGAGACATGGAAGGATGTAAATGGCATATCTATGTAAACTTTTTGTACACAAGGGATCAACTATCTGCAGCTTTACTACTTTTGTATAAATGCTTACCTTTTTTCGGGCTTCCCTGGAGAGTGATTTTCTGTAGCGTTTTGGTCACTGATAGAGCAACAGCAGCTTGCTCTTTCCAACAGTGAGGTACCAGCGCATGGAACCAGATGAGCATTTACTCTGTTCTGCATAGTAATCCTGTCTCTGGTATGTTGTCCCCAGAGTAAGTAAGTAATTGAGCACACCATGCATGTTGGGTTCCATAAGAGGTAACAACAAATGCTTATGGTGCACTGGTATTTCCAATTTGTTGCAAAATATCCTTTTGATTAGTTACTGAGATTACACCTATTCACATCTCACTGAGTAGAACAAAGGCCTGTACTGGGTGCTGATGGGTATATCAGAGACATATCAAAGAGCTGGAACAAAATAAAGAAAACACTACCTGCAGGGAAAAAAAAGTTAACTAAAGAAAAAGTATACCTAAAAAAATTAAAAACTGCTAGTAATTAGAAGGTTTTTTTTGGCAGACATAGACATGCCAAGCCTGCTTCTAACCTCTAATAGTTTTGATCTCTCAAGTATACTGTATGGCATATGCTCTGTGCAGTGTATTACCATGGGTCCTTCCCAGCATCTTCAGGGTTCTGGGAATCAGCCAGGTGCCGATGACAACGTAACACCTGTGTGCATGTGTTACATCATCACAGGCAACCCAATGGTGGGACAGAACAGCGGGGGATGTGTAAGAAACAGCAGAGAATATGGAGGCAGCAGTGGATGGAGCAACAAGTGATAAGAGTAGATTGATCAGCGCAGGAGGAGAGCACACTTGTATAGTAAGTTTACAATAATGTGCAAGTATGCTGTGCATATTTGCATAAAATGGCAAGGGCCCACCTGCCACAACGGACTTTACTTTACTATTACCGCCTAAATATACTGTACTTACCTTACCTCCACTTCTGCCCATGGTGGCTAGGTGAGGGCTACTTCCACATCCTTCCGGTGATATCTCAGGGAATTTCAAGTAGCTGAAATCTTGTGAGAAGATGCTATTGCAATGTGTAGTGCAATCTTGTGAGATTTAGGGTACTGGGCAATCTCCAGGATATTGTTTGAAGGATGCTGACATCACCCCCTTTAACATAGACATAGATTTTACTGCTCTTCCTTCGGTGTCAGTATCAATAATTCATGGTAGATCTTCTGTATGATAATATGATTTTTATATTACAGGAGGGGATCCTCTGGGCCAGTTTGCAATTGGAAATATGCAGAATGAATGGAAGGTGTATGTTAAAAGAGCACTGGACAGGGAGGTAAAAGACAACTACCTACTAAACATAACTGCCACTGATGGAACGTTTGCAAGCAAGGCGGTGGTGGAAGTGAAGGTTCTTGACGCCAACGACAATATCCCAGTTTGTGAAAAGGTACTTTTTTGTTTTTCTTTGTCTTCATGTAGAACAAGAATGAATGTATTTAAAGCCTAACTACAGAGAAATTAAAAGTTTTCCCTTGCAGTGGGGCTGCCCCTCCCCCCCCCCCCACACACACACACTGCAAAGGTAACTGTTCCTTCATGCCTAGAGGGCAGAAAAAAAAAACTGTTCTACTTACATAATTCCAGCTGAGCACTAGGTCGGCGCTCTCCCTCTCTCTCCCTCCACTCCAATTGTGGACTGTCTCACTTGCAATGCAGAGCTTTGAAGATTGCCAGAGTGAAGGTGAGAAGATGCTGTGGGAACTGGTCTAGTGGCCTGGAGATAGTTAGTGGGAGCATGTATCAGGTAAGTAAAACAGTTTTTTCCTGTCCCCTAGGCATTAATGAGCAGTTAACCCTTGCAATGCAGGGGCAGTCCCACTGCAAGCAATCACTTTTAATTTCCCTGCAATTGGCCTCTAAAGATCTTGAAGGGAATTTATCAACACTGAGGCAAACAAATCTGGAGCAGTTTCCCATGGCAACCAATCAGCCTTTCTCCCATTTTCAAATCTTAACTAAATAAACTGAAAACGCTGATTGGTTGTCATGCACAGCTGTTCCAGATTTTGTCTTCTACAAGTTTTAATAAATCCCCATCCCCCCCTCGTGTGTAATGCAAGAAGTCTTTATGTTGCTCTATGTTTGAGGAATTCCAGCTTTGTGACTAGCCTGTCAATTATTCATGGTAAAGTGCCAAAGATTCATATATCTAAACTTAAGTGAATTAGATTAACATTCACACATAGTTTAATGTTAGATTAGGTGTAATGCAAGCAATTTCATTTCAAGTAATTACCATTTAATGAGGATAGTCTGCTAGTGGTAAATAGTTATGGAATGCAATAAAAAAAGTCAAACATTGAAAGGTCAATATAATGTAGGTGAGCAGAGTAATGTAATCCTTAATAATGTCTTAAAGTTTACATAAATCAAACACTGTATGTTATGCCCTTCCACCCACAACCTTGTAGTCAAAATTGTAAGTGATGGCCAGTAACTGACATGTTAAAGCGGACCTTTAAATCAAATTCTACCAATACATCCCTCTATGTATGATGATTAATAATAACATAGACATGTCAGGTGTAAAATGCTGTGATTTTGAAATACTTACACTTGCACATTCACTTCCTGCTATGAAAGGGCAGATCATTGCTAGGAAATCTCATCTGCAATCTCATGAGATCTCAGGGAAAGGCATTTTCCACCCTTGAGATGATGTGCATGGTCACATGTGCCAGATTTTCAGGTGGTAATAGGAGAGATAGTAATCTGCCCTTAGTAAACATGGCCACTGTCACAAGACTGGGGAAGAAAAGAGAAATAAGGAATGCAAAGAATACAAAGCCAGCAATTATCTAGAAGTATGTGTTTGTAGATTGTCATTACTAAACATTTCTAAAGGTGTATTTGTTGTTATTTTAAAGATATAGGTAAAGGTCCGCTTTAAGCAGCCCTTTCTATTTACTTCTTCTAGGACTAAAAATTAACAATTTACACACATAGATTATGTAGCTATTTTACACAGAATTAAGTTTTATTTTAAAATGGATGCCTTGACTAGATTGAGAAACTATTGTGCAATCATCACTTCAAGGTCTAAATGGCATATAGTGTATCTACATAATAAATACCAGCAGTCAATTTTTCCATAACATCTGTTCAAGCATCGTAAATAGGCTCTACAACAAGCTAATACAAGTATAACACAGTCTCCCTCAGCCCACAGCTTATGTAATAGCAGGCATGGCTCCTCTGCTTCAGACAGGCATGAAAGCAATGTGTGTCTGGGATGTTCTGACACTATTGATTTTAGTAACACAAAACATTAGATTTTTTTGGTGCTTAGAGCTTAAAACTTCAGGCAAACAGCTAAATACACAAATGAAATACTTGTATGGAAGTTCTATTTCTGTCAATCCAGTCCAGAGATTTTCAGAGCTCTGCCACACAGCACAGCCCTGTCTGGCAGGCCAGCAGACCTGATGTTCTCTACTAAAGTTTAGTGCAAGTCTTGTTCCTTCCCTGTGACTGGGTAGGGAAAGGAGAAGCAGCACAGAGTTAAGCTCTCTCCTTCTATCAGCATGCTCCTTGCAATACAGCACAAACGATTGTCTACTTGTAATTATCCTGCTTCCCATTTTAGTTCTGCACCTCCAAGTCAAATTCAGGTGCATACACTGCTTGCGTTCCATAAAAATGCATTTAATAATGTATTAATGAGTACAGAGCTGCATCAGTTTGTGTATTTCATCTGCCTGGAGTTTAGATTCAGGTTAGTGGGGTTAATTTACTAAAGGAGCAGAGCATGTTCACTTTGCAAAGTGAATTTTCAGTGAACACGGTGAAGTTAAGTGAAACTTTGTTTTGCAAAGGATGCCCAACTCAAGTGCAAGGAAAATGTAAAAAAAATAGGACTTTGGCTTGCACATGCTTGGGTGATTGAAGTCACTAGAGCTTCACCTCATTCACTAAATTAAGTGAACATGCTATGCTACTCCAGTAAATCAACCCTACAGTGTCAAAAATGTATCTATTTTAATTGCCAAAACAACTTCTGTTCTATCATATTAGTTTGAACTATTGACACTGCAATAGCAAGAAGCACAAATCTTCCATTGAGTTGGTAGTTTAGTACTAACGGATATACCAGTTTACAAGAATTTCTGTGCCTTAAGCTTGCCATACACTGCTCGGATTTTGTCAAATTGTGACCCCCTTGGGACCCTTTGCTCAGTAAAATGTCAATTTTCCAATCGACTTTTGTTGAAGGAGCCGGTCCAAAAATTGTCGCACAAACAGTGACTTCTGTCAGCTGCAGTCAGTGTTCTGTTTAGCGTGCATGGGGAAATCAAGTGTTTTTTCTCCTGCGGCCTGCGTGGCCGAACAAGAAAAAACAACTAGTATATGGCAGGAGTATAGTATTGTAGCGGCACTGTGTGCTGTTGTCTTTAAATGACTATCGCCTACTATTCTGAAGACCTAGTTCATTTTTAATAAGAATATTCTCAAGAGAATAAATGAATTTAACGTTTTCACAGGATTCCTATTCTGAGACCATTTCAGAAGATGCTCCTTCCGGGAAACTAATTCTACAAGTCTCAGCCACCGATGCTGACATTCGTTCCAACGCTGAGATCATTTACACATTGCATGGACTTGGCTCCGAGAAATTTCACCTCAATCCATTTACAGGTGAGCTCCAGAAATGTAATAAATTCTACACTTTCTGTTTTGACCTTTTAATTATGTCTTCCAGACATCATTACTGTTAATTCTTCAGTAGAAAAAGCCAGGCATAATTTCCTGCTGCAGGAATAGTCACTTAATTGCACCAATTCTATTAATTGAGGAACTCAATATAACTGTATAAAACAGATATTCTACACAGGCAAGGTTTATTCATCCATTAATGTTGGAGAAAGGTTAGACAAAATCAGCAATGTGATTGGTCTCAGCTATTATTTTAGTCATTTTAAACTATTATAGATCAGGTTTTTTTTTAACTCTGTGTCTTCTACTTTGAAAAGTTTCCAGCAGAAAGCCTTTCTCTAAGCTTTCAGATTTCAGTTCCTGCAGCTGAAGCTGTCCTGGGAACTTTAGGCAGATCATGGAATATTATGACACGGAGAGAATGATACTGCAAAAGACAATCCTTTTGGTAAAAGACACATTTTTGGTAAACTTAATATGAAATGAAAAAAAAAAAGGTTTCTGTGATGACGTTTACGCTCAAAAAGGAAAACTTCACTTTTGTTGAAAAAAATAATATAGCATATAAAAACTATTTTGGGTCATTTTATAATTTAATGTTATCACAAATTACCTTTTCATTTCAATCTGAAGCCACAATTATTTTCTGAAACTGTTAGAAAAATTCTGTGGAATTTGGCATCCTGGATGTGTTCTGTACATCATTGCTGTAAGGAACACCCCCAGAAATGTAATTTCCTGCTGGTGTGATTGGCTCACAGAATTGCCAGAAGTCTGCACTAAGATAAAAGTAAAATTTTTAGGCATCCCTGCAATAGTCATTTTCTTTTTGGTGAGATAAACTCTAAGGTCTAACTACTACTAAAGAGGTACAGACACTGCAACTGTCCTCATTAGAACACTGAAAGTGCACCAGACAGTTATAAGAACAGGACCATCCCATTCAGGAATCAGTCTGGAAGGGACTTGGTGAAACAAACAGTGTTTTCTTTAGAACAGAAAAATATAGGAATCTGCAACAAAGTTTGTTCAAATACCAGCAGTGTACATTGATCACTCAAAGGGGATTGTTTTTTCTCTGCAAAAGTGGAGTTGCCCTTTTAGTTTTGTGGGTAGTAGGCATGATATAAGGTCAGCTTTTTATTAATTCACTTAGTGGACATTATTTGTGTTGACTAAATCCTTGAAAGTTCCTCCAGTAACTACATTGGACTTACTGGCTACAGAACTTAATTTCCCATTACACTTGCTTACCTTTATGGTGCCTGGTGCCTTATTCCAGACAGAAACAGGAACCATACCACACTCCTTACCGGGATTCCCACTTAATGAGGATGGGTGCTCGAAGTGACTGCGGATGGCGCCGCCACACATGAACAATAGGCGATGAGATACAGCTATTGGCAATAAATGAACATTTTGATTTTTCAACTTGCGGTGTGCTGGTGACGTTTTTCTATTGTTCATGGTGCCTTATTGTTTCCCAGTGTTTTTCATATTCGTATTATTATAATAATATTTCATACAATTATAATTATATCACAAGAGGTGCTTAATTTTATGTTGTATAATATGGAGTGCTGCCACTTAGTATAGTCAGGTAAGTAGTACAAGGCAAATTATATACACACAATCTGAACAATAGACTCTTTATGCTGGTGAGTATCTTATTGTATTTGAAAATAGCCTTGCTGGTTGTTTTAGACATGTAATGACCACGTCGTCCATGTTACCACATTTGTTCATCTCTGATACTACCTACATAATGTAAAGGTAAATAATTAATTCTGCACATTCATATAATTTGAATACCTTTCACCTTTTCCTTTTTTAAGAGCAGTTTACTTGGTATTAGGACACATGTTAAAAAGCTGAGAGGTCACAGTATCGTAAAGTAGGCACTTTGACTTTCAGCATGTGAACTTTTCTGGTAAAGACCTTCCAGCGTAAAGAGCCCTATTCAAAGACCTATCCCTGTAACCCTAACACTAAAACTTTATGTAACTCTTACACTAACCCTCGTAAATATAACACTAATCCTCACAGTAACTCTCCCTGTAACTATTACACTAACCCTGCCTTACAGTCTAAAACTAATCCTCATAGTAACTATTTCTATGACCTATACACTAACCCTCCTTGTACGTCTAACACTAGTCCTAACCATAACTCCCCCTGTAACCCTTACACTTACCCTCCCTTTATGTGTAACACTAATCCTCTCAATAACTCTCCCTGTAACCCTTACACTAATCTTCTCTGTAATTCTAACACTAATGTTCACTATAACTCTCCCTGCAACCCTTACACTAAGAGAAAAATGTCAAGTCTGCGCTTTATGGGTAGTCTTAGAGAACTAATAGATATTAATATAGCTGCTGCACTATATACACTGTGGTCCAGCTTATAAATAATAATAGGTATGCAGCGCTACTCCGTGGTCTATCAGTGAACTTCCTATGGTTAACATACAATAAAATTGCGGTGAGTGTGCACTCCTGAGTTGACGTGGACACAAACACGGTTTTGGGAAGGATCATCAAGCACTTTTGGGATTCTTTTTCTGTACACGTTGGATATATTAAGAATTATTTTCACTCATCTACTATGGATCAATCACATTGAATATGATATAAGCCTCTGGACTTTTATGAACTTGTATACTCTCTATGAAAATAATGTTTTTACTTTATGTATATTTTGTTTTAAGAATTCATCAATTTATATTTTTGCACTTATATTTATATGCATATTTATTTTTATATACATATATATTTATTGCACGATTTTGCACTTTTGCACAACTTTGATCAGCAGTGATCTACAGTTTCTATTGAGGTAATGGCTCATATCTTTAGCACATAAATTCACGTTAATTTATCTGTATCCATTTGTACAAGTTAAATCAAAAGAGGTCTGTTTATTTATGCACAATTTGCGGTTATTGTCTGATCAATATCCTTTAGATTAGACCCATTTAATCAGTTACTAACTGACCCATAGCGCTGCATACCTATTATTATTTAACCCTTACACTAACCATCTCTGTAATTCTAACACTAATGCCCCCAATAACCCTCCCTGTACCCCTTACCCTGCTAACCCTGCTTTATAATCTAAAACTAATCCTCGTGATAACTCTCCCTGTAACCCTTACACTAACTCTCCTTGTACATCTAACACTAGCCCTAACAATAATTCCCTTTACAACCCTTACTTTAACCATACCTTTACGTCTAACACTGATCCTCTCAAAAACTCTCCCTGTAACCCTTATACTAACCATCCCTGTAACTCCTGTGCTACCACAACCCTTGCTAATGTAAAAAAACAACTTTTTTGCATAATCTTTTTTCTTGCACTACAATTATTTGCACAGATAAACCCTTCCTGTGCCAAAAAAAAAGATACCAGCACTTCGATCCCAGGGGTGCAATAATCTACTCTTTTCTCTTAAAGAACTTAGAATCTTACAAAATTTATACGGGGGACGGTATTATTATTTTATATTATGAAGCCAAACATGCTTTGAAAGGGCAGAATAAGAACCTTTGTATTAAATTTGTGGAAAAATTATATTAATAGATTCAACAGCTGCATGTTTCAGTGCCTGCATTCTCAGTAGTATTTTGCTCTCATTCTGTATAAATTGGAATATCCAGACACATTAAAAGTTGTAAATGTTCTTCTGTATCTCGGTGGATGAATTTTTTTTTTCTGCAGACTTTCAAGACTTGTTAATAAAGACCTTCTGCACAAAGCTCCTGCTAGTATGATGATTATTTAAGGAGAGGCATCCTAGACTGGAATAAACTGATTAGCTGTGGTATATGCATCCATTTTCATGGAGCAAAGCATCCCTCACTAAACTGTGCTGCATAACTTTTAAGAGCTAAAGAAAAGAGGCTTAAACTGTGGTACTAAATGAAAAAAAAGAAATGTCTACACCAGAACACATTAGGGGAATTGTAACTTCCAGCTGACCTGGAAATACCTTGAAATACCCTAGCAAGAGCTTAGTTCTTTTGCAGAACATGTTGTGTATGAGCTCTGTGTGCTTGCTGCTGACATATTCATAACTAAAGAATGTGCAAGCACTGAAAGTGCTTCAGTATTGATTAGATTAGCAGAGGAAGTTTTGTTTAGAAGGGGTGTCCTGCACTGGACCACTGTGCCTCAGGGTCCATAGTGGGAATTACTATCACTCTAGGTCTGTGTCCATAGACCTAGAATATAATATATGTGTTTTAGGTGTATGTGCACAGAAGGTTAAATTATTTAAGGGAAAGTCTGGGCTGTACTACTAAAGGTACCAATAGACATATTTGTCATCTGATCTGGTTGGTGAAAATATTCAGTTGGCAGCACATGCATGGGTTTCATCCAGGTATCCTGATGACATGCCGGTAGGTTGTCTCCCATCTAAACTGACCCTAGTATGTGTGTGCATGTATCTATGCATTTGAGACAAGGACCTTAGATTGTAAGCTCCTTGAGGGCAGGGACTAATGTGAATGTGCAGTATGTAAAGTACTGCATAAAGTGTTGGTGCTATGTAAATGCCAACAATAAATAAAAAAAAATATGGACATTCTGTAACATCTGCTGACATCCCGCCAGGGTCTCTCAGAGAAAGAATATATTATATGTGATGGATTTTCCCAGCCAATTGTTGTTGAATCTCTGAGGTAAATGTGGCGTCTGGGACGTTTCCTTAGTCCATAAACATGTACAATTGGCCAATTCAAGGACACATAATTATTTTGACAAACAATCCTTTAGATGTTTGATCTTTTGGTTACCAGATGCCAAAGGCTTGTGTATCAGCAGTGACATTGCTAATAGCCATGCCCCCAGCAACATTTTTTCATTCTACTGTAGTACAAGCAGTCACAGCCTACATGAGAGTGGCAATCTGCTCTGAATTCAGGAGCAGTTCAGCATTGTTGCCACATTTTCACAGCACGCTGCATTAGGTGGACTTCACTGGCAGACTCATTCAGTATTTGTGGAAGAACTAAGAGGAAACTGCAAGTGCAGGTTGCGCATATTTGTTTTTTGGGAGGCCATAGTTTAAGCTTCTTTCATCACCTAACCTGCTCCCTTGTTTTAGAGTTTCAAAGCAAGCAAAGTGTGGATTCTCTTTCAAAATGTTTTTTTTTTGCTTTTCAAGGTGAACTGAAAACATCATTACCACTTGACCGTGAGATCCAGGAAGTCTTCCATCTCTTGGTGAAAGCTACAGATGGAGGTGGCAACTTCTGTGAAGCCAGTGTTGAGCTGACATTAGAAGATGTAAATGACAATGCACCAGAGTTCTCTGCAGATCCTTACAGCGTGACTGTGTTTGAGAATACTGAACCCAAAACTCCGCTCACAAGGGTGCAGGCCATAGATGCTGATACAGGTATTAACCACTTCTGTAGTGAGTTCCTTGGTCAAAGTGAATCAGTGTGGATCATCTCACATGTACATATCTTTTTTTATTCTTAAGCAGCATTATTCCAACTAGATATACGGTCTACACTTTGTGTCATTGCATGGGACTGCTGAATTATCAATCGGTGATGGTGCTGTTACCAAGTGCTTTATAGGAATTAGTAGATTACTGACTTCCTAAAGAGTCAGCTGATGATACTGTTGTTAAAAAAGTTGGCCAGTGATAAAACTCGATCCTTTGTAATATTATGGAACTGTCCAGTCTGACTAATGCACAATAATTTATGCAGGACATTTGCTTTTTGTGACTACCCATTACTTTCAGTGGCTATCTATAAAATGATCACCACCCAATCTACCCAATAGTGATCAGATGTCACTATGTTTAGAAACACAAGGCAACATTTTGTGGTTTAACAATCTCTTGGGAAAATCTATAATTTGAAATAGATATTGAGATAAGGAAACCCTTGTATGCAGACCTGAAAATGTTAGTTATATGTTAAATTATATGAAATAGACATCATCATCATGGCAGATCTGTGTACTAGGTGTTTAGATACAACATGAAAATCTTGTTTAAATGTTAACAAAATAGCTAGAGTATCTTGTAAAAAACTGGAGGATACAAATATTGATATACCGCAAACAAAAAATGTTGAAATCCCTAGAGTATAGAAAAATCTACCCTTACACAATATTCTAATACCCCTAGGCTTACTGCATGGGGGTCCCAGAAGTTCAGCTTCAACTTGCCAAATACTGTTACTTTACTTTATGGTGTTTTTCTTGCATGTCTTTTTTATTGTAGGACTAAACCATAAGGTGCACTATTCATTAGTCAGCTCAGCAGAAGGTCAGTTCTCCATTGATGAGTCATCTGGAATAATTACTTTGGAGAAACCTCTGGATCGGGAGATGCAAGCAGTGTACACACTTACAGTCAAAGCCAGTGACCATGGATTACCTCGGAAGCTGTCCTCAGTTACAAATGTGTTGATATCAGTCTTGGACATTAATGATAATCCACCGGTCTTTGAACACAGAGAGTATGGGGCTACATTGTCAGAAGACATAACAGTTGGAAACAAAGTTCTCCAGGTGTATGCCACAAGCAGAGACATTGAGGCTAATGCAGAAGTTTCATACCAGATTATCAGTGGCAATGAGCAAGGAAAATTCAGCATTAACCCAGTAACAGGTAATATTTATGTTCTGTATATTAAGGTTTGTGAGTGATTTATTGTATTACCACCTGTTGATGATATATGAGCCCTCCTCATCATCGCATGATGTATTAAGTGTTTTCAGCGCTTTCAGCTACAATGATACAAAAAACCCTAGATATAGGCAGTAAAACCTTAGGTCCCTGAGCCATATCATGATTTAGGCCCCATTACACCTTGGCATCCTGGTGCATTACATTAACATGCACCTTTTTTTGCAGTGTGGTGCACCAAAATCCACGATAGTCCATTACCATGTGTTGTGGTGCACTGTAACATACTGTATGTGCATTCCCTTAGTGAGTTGTGTTACCATTGAAAATGACTGGTACCAATTCGCTGGTGCATGTATCATGCATTGCGGTAATGCGTACACTAACACAAAGCAACATTGTGAATGGGCCCTTAAAGTGACACTAAACTCAGAAGATAAATCTTAAACATGCATTCAAGTACCTAAGTACCTTAAAATGTATCTTATTTGTATTATATGTATTCTTATAAACAGAAATGTAGCTCATTTGTGCATCACCGCTCCAAGCTCGCTCCTGTATTGGACTACAATCTCACATTTAGTTAACTAATTTGTATAGAGATTTGTATAGACAACGGGAGTGAGCTTGGAGCGTTGGCTACTTTACAACACACACAGAGACCATGGGGAACAAAAGTAGCCACCCTCCAGAAGGAAGGACAGTGTCAGCACCCATTCAGAGATGATTTGAGGATCTGCAGCTGAGAGATGGACAAATAATGTACAGTATTGTTTATAGTTAAGGTACTTTAATGTATTTTTAAGTTTTAACTCCTGAGTTTAGTGTCACTTTAAATATTGTTACTGGTTTCACACTTGCGTTACGGTAACCTAATACTATTTGCATCACAGTGCCATTCATCTAGAATGGCACCCGAACACGTGTACAGAAGCAACCAATACACCTACATTACAGTGCATCGCAATGCATACAGGGTGCGTTGTGGTGTGCTGCATTGCAGAAAATGCTACTGGTGATGTTTTTCACGCAGCGTAATGAACAGGCTGCTTTAACTACTTTAACAAAAATGCGTTTGTTAACTAGTGTGAATGAGCCATATGTTATGGGTTGCTCCTTTTTGTATAAGACAAACAACTTTCATTCTTATCTTGTTATTGTTTCTGTCCTGTTAAGTATTGGAATTGAGCCCCTTTTTTTTAACAGCCAGGCTGCTGAATTATTTTCCAGTTGGCAAGGTTAGGTCAAAGACACCCCCTTAAACCTCTACAATGGTAAGCCAGGAAAACATAATTTCCCGCATAAAGGATTATCCACATTCTCAAGAAAGCTGTAAACTCCTGTACTGGAAAGTTATGTCGAGCAATGGGTGTCGCCACTCGCAAACTCCTGCGGATCTGCTGTTTAAGAACAGCTGGCGAGATGCCAGAGCATATGAAGCTGCTTGGCCTTTTCAGACTGACAAAGTCGCAGGCATGAATAAGTAAAGAAATCAATGAACCAGCAGCTGCACTGCACAGGGAAAAAATGGCAATAAGCCTCGCAATTTTGGCTTGGTTAAATGCATGGAAGACATCAAGTAAAATGCATGTTTAGATGGTGGAAGAAAACACAGAGATAAGAACAATCCAGTTCCATATATAGTCACAGGGTTCATTGTGCTTTTTAGCTGCAGTTTAACATACAATTAACTGCACCAAATGCCCATACGTGTAAACAGAGCCTTCGACACTGTGTGCAGTTCACTATGTAATACAAATTCCTCTTCAATAAATGCATATACACTATTCCAAGTGGCAACAAATACATTGTAGCATTTTTCAAATTCTGTTTTCTTGTTTGTTTGTTTTGTTGTTAAAGGCATTGACGTCAATTTATTAAATCACCAGCAGATAGTCTGTTTACTTTGTAAGGCAATTTGTCCTTAGCTTAGTTAATGCGGTGAAAATACACTTTGCAAAGAATACCGAATCAAGAGCAAGAACAATAAAATCAGTATTTTCACTTGCACATAAATTAGATGATGACAGTCAGCAGAGCTTCAACTCATTCACTAAGCCAGCCTTTCTCAACCATGGTGCCATGACACACCAAGGTACTTTCTGGCTTCAGCATTCTGATGGTAGTGCTCTGATGTAAAGGGGGAACTCTGTAAAAGGGGGCATTCCAATATGAAAGGGGGGGTCTGATATAAAGGGGAAGGGGGATGTGATGTTAAGGGAGGTTTCTAATGTGAAAGGGAGGATTGTGGCATGAAGCGGGGCTACTGATGTGAAGAAGTACTCTGATGTGAAAGGGAGAATTCTGGTGTGAAAGGGGGGCTCTGATGTGAATGGGGGCTTCTAATTTCAAGGGCATACTGTAAAGCAAAGGGAGGAACCCCACTTATTTGTGGGTTCCCCCTTATATTTTAGACTAGGGTGCCTCAAGATTTTGCATACTTTTTACTAGGGCTGTTCAGATAATAGTTCCGATACCAGTGCTGATACTTGGGAATCATGAGAACTACCAGGGTTGCAGTGGTTGCAGCTGGGACCTGGCTCTGGCGCTCCACCACTGTCCTGAAATCATTAGTCTGTATTGTTTTAGAAAATACAAATAACAATAAACAAAAATTTTACATTACCTGTATCTGTGAGTACTTGGACAAGTACTGTATCAGTACTTGTACTTGAAAAAATGGTATTGGTGCATCCCAAATATATATTTATAAAAAAACAAATGTCATACATTAAACCAGGGATGTACAAATCTCAGGAGCTCCGTATACTCCTTAAGAATGACAGCTGCCTCCTAACTTATGAATTTTTCTCTAGTCTAGCCTTGGAGCATGAAAAGTATCTGTAGATGTACTTGTACAAAGTACGTTACTTGGTATATGAACATCCCTACTTTTTATAGTGCCGTGAGTGAACAAAGGTTGGGAAACGCTGCACTAAGCTGAACGAAAATTCTCTTTAAAGAGAAAATTCCCTTGCAAAGTGAACAGTTCATCTGTCTTTAGTGGATCAACCCCAATGACTTTGTAAGACTCCTGTTGTTTATGAAATTAACAATATGATATTTTTAAGGAACCATACATTTTTTTTAGAGATCCATATATTTGAATTTGTTCTTGTATTCATAGTCCCATCACCTTCCGATTTTAATATTTTAATGTGCATTTTTGTTTTTTCAACTCTAAACAGGAGTTATTTTTATTATTGAAAGTTTGGACCACGAAAGCGCAGCAGAATATTATTTGACGGTAGAAGCAACAGATGGCGGCACTCCACCTTTGAGTGATGTTGCAACAGTCACCATAAATGTAACAGATGTCAATGACAACTCACCAGTGTTCAGTCAGAGCACTTATAATGCTGTGGTCGGTGAAGATGCTGTATCTGGTCAACCTGTCTTAATGGTAATTTGTGTTAAGCTACTTGTTTAGTGTATCTCCATGTACTATAGTTTTTACTAATACTATTATCTTCTTTGATTATGACCTTCCATCCACTTCATACATTTTGCCTGTAAAAAAATTCCTCCTTTCCAGATTGGAGTCTATCTTTGTCTGCAATCCTGTAGACAGGATTTCTGGTTTTGCAAACCACATGACCACTGTTCCCCTTCTTTTCCTTCTCTAGCGTAGAATGGCCTATTCCTTAAAGAAGAACACCAGGCATATTAAACATTAACCCTTGCCATAGCACTCCAAGCGTTAAGTGCTCGTTTTGGTCTAGGGTCTAAAATTAAAAAAAAGATATACCCATTCAAACCTCTGTCCCCCCTTGGCTGCTGGCCTGGTCCCTGCAGCCTCTTTTCCCCCTCCGCTCTGGCGGTCTGGGGACCTGTGATGCCATCGCGTCCATTTACTTGCATTAGACTTGAGGATGCCGAGGGTCATTTCGCAGCTGGAGCGGAGGGAGAGAGAGGTGAGTGTTCATTGCCATGGGTGATTGGGTTAGTATATCTGTTTTTAGTTTTAGACCCTAGACCAAAATGAGCACTTAACCCTTGCAATGCGGGGGGTGGCCCCACTGCAAGGGTTAATGTTTAATATAGAAAATTTAACCCGATAGAAGATAACGGGTTAAGTAGCGGTCAAATTAAGGATCCGGACAAGTCAATGAATAGAAAAAAAGGAGATAATTTTATTGAAAACACATATACGTTTATACATTTAACTCATTAAATACCATTAAAACCATGGATAACATGCAGTCGCAAATTAAATGTGGATCAACCCTAATCAATATTGCACTTGGGTCCCCACCGTGGGGAGAAGTGACCACGGTGGGGACCCAAGTGCAATATTGATTAGGGTTGATCCACATTTAATTTGCGACTGCATGTTATCCATGGTTTTAATGGTATTTAATGAGTTAAATGTATAAACGTATATGTGTTTTCAATAAAATTATCTCCTTTTTTTCTATTCATTGACTTGTCCGGATCCTTAATTTGACCGCTACTTAACCCGTTATCTTCTATCGGGTTAAATTTTCTGCTTTTCAAGTTTATTTTGGTCATGGATCAGATAAAGTAAGCTATTATGCAAATCTAATCAGGGCAATTATAACCAGTCGGATCTCCAGGCAGGAACACAAGCCCCTTTTTTCTTTAATGTTTAATATGCCTGGAGTGCTTTTTTAACTCTCCCTAATCAGGTGCACAGTTGACAGCTATTAAAGTAAATGTATCACATTTGTACTTTTTAAATAGGCAGAGACAGTATGGCCTATGGCACAAAATATGTGAAGGCTAACTGATCTTTTTAAAGACTACCATCTTACAGAAAGGCTATTTCGGGAAGTGCAGGGGGTACCTAAACCCATTTAAAAATGTAATATATTGCAAGCTACTAGCTTTTAAATGTGGCGGTTGCATTAGTTTTCTTTTTAGTCTTATTTTCTATTTTCTCCTGGTGACCCTGCCAGTGACATCATTCCTGTCCTAGGGTGATAATATTAACTCACTGTACTGTATATATGGGGGGAGCAGAGTTGTCACCCTAGGGCAGGAGGGGAGGTAGGACTACATCTTCTCTCCACATCTCCATAACGCAGGTGTGAGTTGTTCTGTAGTTCACACAGATAGGGCTCTTAAGACTGCCTGGGAAACACTGCAGGTTGTACAGGAACATGAAATAACCATTTCTGGCAGGATCAATGTTTTTTTTTTGCACTTTTCATACAAATATAACAAAATGCCTGACTATCATGCTTCCTTGGAGGGACCCTTCTCCTCTACAGAGGAGCGTTGGAAAATTGTCCAGACCTTGACTCCTTTTATAGGAGGACCTGACTGGAGGCAGAAAGGCCACACACAGGTTGTGTCTTTGGACAGGTGCATGCATTATATTACAGAATGTATTATTATGGATTATTTAGGTGATAGTTTGTGCCCCATATGCAGAATAACCTAGTCAGCTGCCATAATCTATACATATATGAACATTTATGTTAGAAGCCCTTTAACTACAGGAATAAAACGTTAACTGATGTAAGCACCTTTATCATTTGTCCCAACCCCAGTGCCTGTCATTTTTTTTTTCCTGGAAAGTTTTACCTGCATGAAATGTACAGAAAATAGCAATACAGTCATGTAAAATAAAAAAAAATCCATACACTGAATACTATCATTATGGTTATTAACTGCAGTTACCAGAATACAAAAGTTTTCACCATAGGGGGCCTTTTGAACACTTATTGCAAATAATTATTTCACTTATGTCTTTAGAAGTATTGAAATACTTTTTTTCAGTTTAGCTAATGTAATTACTGGAAGCCTGTCTTTACACAAAGCTTCCACAAACAGCTATTCTGTAAGTGAAAGGGTTGTAGGTACTAAAGCCGGCCTGTAGGAGGGAAGCAGGATAGGAGGTGGGGCGGTGTCTTGGAGTGTGTGAAATGACAGGCTTTGGACAGTGCTATTACCTTTCTTATTCTGTGCTATATACAGTATATGCCCTATATTCAACCGCAGCGGCTGAGTATTTACAGGAGTATCCACATTTATTGTTGGCTGCTAAAACAGTCCCTGTGCATGTGCTTCAGCTATATTGGTGTGCATAGAATTGCCCTTTAAGATTCAGGTTTCTTTTTTCTCTCCATTATCGTGTTTCATTAGTGAACACGCTGTACTCTGTTTGAAGACAGCAAGACAAAGCACTTGAACATTTATAGTTGGATTGATCCATTTTAATATGCTGTTAATTTGCATAAAAGTGGAATTATCATTTTGACAAGTGAAATTAAAAATTACAAGTTTAAGCCTGACAGCATTCAGTAGAGAGAAAAAAATAATTATCTGGGCAGTGATGTTAAAAGTAAATGATTAAAAGTAATACAAGTTCAAGGACTCAAACTAGCCGTTACCACCGAAAGACCACTTATCCTTCATGTTATACCAAAATAGTACATTTACCACTTCTGCCACCCTTAGCTCACAACTGGCCAACCATATCAGACTGGTTGTCACAGGCAGGTAAGGATTCCAAAAGCAGTATACATAGGCTCACAAAGACACACATAATCTGGGGTAACGGCTAGAAATCCTGCTGTATAAGGACGCATAACTGCATCAGTATCACTTGGGAAAGTTTTGTAGTCCACAGAGGAAACTGGGCAGGGCTTATATAATCAGTACAGCACAGGCAGAATATATAAAAAGTTAGGCCCAAACAAAGATTTCTGGCAATACCATCATAATATTCTATCGGACAGCACAGTAGTGTAGTGGTTAACGCTTCTGCCTTGCAAGGAGTTTGCATGTTCTCCCGGTGCTTGCGTGGGTTTCCTCCGTGTACTCTGGGTTTTTTTTACCACACTCCAAAGACATGCTGGTAGGTTAATTGTCTCCTGTCTAAATTGGCCCTGTATGTATGCATGTGAGATAGGGACCTTTTGAGTGTAAGCTGCTTGAGGGCAGGGACTGATTGTCAGCGCTATATAATACCTGTAATAATAATGTATTTTGTGCACTTATTGAACAGATAAACAAAGACTCTGTCAATGGCATGTCTAATAGACCAAAAGGAAACAATCAAAAGAAGTTAATTGTTTTGGCTTGTATACACTTTAAGAGCCTGTTCTTTCTCAGTGAAATTGATTAGTGCCAGTGCCTCAAAGGCAGTCAGACCCATTGCATTTTGTTTATCAAGACATACCAAACAGCAAATAAAACCATTAAATGTAATGCACCCTTCTAGCTACAGACACTGGGAACAGCCTGGTGGGTATCATGAATACAAGTTGGGCGCCCATTTTGCTAGTTGTTATACCTAACTTACTTCCATTCAGATATACTGCTTCTCTTATTATTTCTTATAGGTGAAAAAAATGAAGTTCACCATTGCTGATCTGTCCTTCTAAAAAAAATGCTAGTTGTCTGGATCTAATGCTAAATCCGATTACGTCAATGCTCTCTCTATTCCTTTAATGACTTTGCTGTATTGCAATTTTTCCCTTTGGTTGTCCTTCTCATGCATTGAAATGGGAAACAGGGGTGAGAATAGAAGTGGAAAAAGAGAAATGCTTAAAGCATTCGTGTAATCCAAAAAAGTTAGCTGCCTACAAGTAAAGATTAGAACTACTTCAGCTTATACATTACAGTTTAAGAAGAATAATAAAGGCTTCCATATATTCATGTAGCACTTTCTACTTAGAGAATAAAAGTGAAAGATGTCATGTCGTGTCCCTCCAGGCAACATTTTTTTGTTCCGTTGGTTGAGTTTATGAAGGTAACAGTGAAGCCATTGAAATAAGCCTGCCGGGAGATCTTCTAATAAGTTAAAACTAGGACATGGGGAAGAATTATTTCAAAAGTGTTTGCTTGTCTTCCTGTATGTGCTGCACATGACAATCTGCTTTCATCTAGGTTGTTGCAGATGATGCTGATGGACCTTTGAACAGTCACATCCACTACTCAATTACAGATGGCAATCTGGGGAATACCTTTATCATTGATCCTGTACGAGGGGAAGTTAAAGTGAATAAACTTTTAGACAGGGAGAAGGTGAGTCATGCCACATCTTTTCTATCCTTTGTAATTATATGGAACACATCAGTAGAAGAGCTTTTGATGCAAGATAATTTTATTGTTATTCAGTGTATAGCTAGTGTCTCTCTATTCTCCCGTATGTCACAAAAATACATTAAGGGGAATTTATCAAAACTGGAGCAGAACTAAATTGGAGCAGAAAAAAATCTGGAGCAGCTGTGCATGTCAACCAATCAGCTTCTCTCTTTTATTATTTTCAAATATTAATTGAGCAAACTAAAGAGAGAAGTTGATTGGTTGCCATGGGCAACTGCTCCAGAATCTGTCTGCTCCAGTTTTGATAAATTCCCCCCAATGTTTTTTGCAGGTCATCACATTATTTTTATTCCTTATTTTACAGATATCTGGTTATACCTTGAGAGTCCAAGCAGAGGATAATGGGAATCCACCCAGAAGGAACACTACAACAGTTAACATTGATGTGTCAGATGTCAATGACAACCCTCCGTTATTCTCTAAAGGGAATTACAGTGTTATAATTCAGGTAATTGTTTTGTTATTTTTTTATTACACATTTTTTTTTACATAGAGGCCTCACAAAGATGGTATTTTTGCTGCTGTTTATCGAGTTAGAGCAAGCTCTTTTACCTGCTCCAGGGATGCATATGATATATGTTTTCCTTTAAACTGTCCATAGCCCTGCATTATGTGTGAGGACATCAAGGGACAGTCCACAAGCCGTAGTGTAGGGGAGAAAGGTGAGCTGTGACCACTCCAAAAGGTAGTACAAAAGGTAGTACAAAAGGAAGTACATAGGAGAAATTAATTGTTAAGCTTAACATACACTTTAAGTATTGGCAATAGTAATGGAGGTCCTCTCATTCTCCTTTTTAAAAACATCAGTAAAGAAATTATCCCTTTGCTCCCATTGCCAATATTTCCTTGCCATCATTGACTTCTGGCTCTTTGCTGAATACTGTATCACACATGGTATAGAAAAAAATGTCATTGGCGGGCTGCAGCCATGCCAGCATAGATGGTATTTGACTGTTTAGAAAGTGTAATCAAACCTAACAAAGAAAGCTGGTGATTCTCACGCAGGAGTAGTCATTGATGTTACCACTAACTCTAAGGGTATAGCATTTTTACCACAAGTGAAACATACACAGCGTATATAGGCAGTGTGTATGTGTGTGTAACACACACACTCGTACAGAAACAGTATAGAGAGAAAAAAATGCACTTTATGTGCAACACCAGTTTCTCATTTAATGGGAATAGCTCTGATATGATGTTGAAAGACTCTTTTATATCCAAGGTATGAGTGGGATGTAAAGTCAAACTAACATTCTTAACATTGCACACAGTATAGAAATAAATACCTTGCTGATTATTTATGGAAAACATGTCTTGCATGGTTTCCTGGGTGGTTAATATATCATAAAATGTGGCTAAAGGTAACATCTAAATTTAGGCTGTACTCTTGGAGTTGATTTACTAAAGGCAAATAGGCTGATCACTTTGCAAGGGAATATACCCTTGGCTTAGTGAATGTGGTTGATTTACTGACTTCCATCATCCAATTATCTGCAAGCAAATATAAAAATTTTTGTTTTTCTTGCACGTGATTTGATATTCTTTGCAAAGCACATTTTCACCAGAGTCACTGAGCTAAGTGAAAATTCACTTGGAAAGGCAACAGCCTATATGCTTTTATCAACCCCTTTATGTGCAGTGTCGCTCTAATTCTGAATATGGGTTTTAGGTATGCCAGCATAGCAAATATTCTTTTCAGGTGTGGAAACATAATGAAGCACTGAGGTCATTATGCACCGGAAGCATTTTTATATTCCTTGATTAAAAGCAGATATTTATTTACTGCTTATCTTAAAGCTGATTGTGCTATTTTGATTGAAGTGAGATCAGTCAGGCTGAAATTACATTGTACAGCAGTGCTGTCCGTATGGCAGCCTGGTGTATTGCTTGGAAAACAAACTATAGTGAGACATAGGAGAATTGTATGATTATATCTATTTGAATTTGTACAATGCCTAGGGGATGGTTAATATTCTTTTTATTCAATAGCAGTAAATACATCCTGCCTTCCAGCTGTCATAAGTTTAGACAGTTGTTCTCAATAATATGAGGGCGGCTAAGGTAAAAGCAGGATAACTTTTGTATAGATATCATGCTATATGTACGGTTTTAATATAAAGGTTTTAAACCCAAAACGCTGCTCATTTACAATGGTCTAAAAAAAGGGGTGTTATTTTTTAAGAAACATTAAAGGGGTTATTCACTATTGAGCTGAAGAATACAGTCGTAGCTTCGGGTGATCCTTCGGCTTATTTCGGCCGCCGGAGCCCTTCAGTCGAACCGAAGGGCTGCTGTAAGGGCTATTCTATTTCTATCTCTATTTCCATCTTATGCTGATCGGGCCTTTTTTAAGTTTGGGGTGGTCAAAGTGGAGCATTCCCTTGTTATTAACCATCTGTTCTTGGATCTGTCTTTTGTTCACAGAGCATAATTTGAAAGAAAAATCAAATTAAGTGCAAGAACAGTGTGCATCTAATCCACCTCACATTATAACATCCACATTCAACTCCCCCAAATCCTCATAGATAAAATAAATGTTAGGCATACACCTAATTGTGTGGTATGAAATATATATGTAGATCATGAGCCAACCAGCAAGTAAAACTGTCTGAGCAATAACAACATTGCTACTGTTGGCTATAGGTGGCTAATTAATCTTCAAGTGGTATCGTTGTGGAAGATGTTGATCTCTCTCTGCACTCTTTATTGCCTTTCCACATTCCTCATCTTCAGAAAAATAAGGCTTTTCTCTGGCCTGTCTATACTCATTTTCTTCATTAGGCTAAAAATGCTAGACTTCACTTTTTTTTTTTGCTTTAATTTTACTTCAAAAAGGTTTTGTCTTAGGAAAATAGTTTCAGACAATAGTAAGAAACAAGCAGTTGAAGTTTCATTAACATAGGATTTCATGTGTACAAAATCGGAAAGGAAATGCAAGCAACCAATTGATTTTCACTGTGTTCTGTCATCTTTATTTAGATGCCAAAGATATCTTTTATCCCTCACGAAGCCTTAACAAGCTCATTTAAGATCAAGTATATTCAATGCAGCCAGCAGATGCAAAGTTTTAGGTGTATTTCTCACGTTCCTGTCAGTTTTTATGTTTATATTAGAATATATTTTTTTAACTGTCTGGTCCTATTATAATGTTATGTTCCTATCAGTGCTTTGCTGTGCTGTAACACTGGATTCTTGACCTTGTCTTCTCTTCATGCACAGAAACCCTCATGCCGTCAGCCTCTAGACATATATATCTGCTTGTGACAGTCTTATAATCTTATTATATATATTAAAAAAAATGTGTCTTCACAGGAAAATAAGGCGATTGGCTTCAGCGTCCTGCACTTGGCGGTGACAGACAAGGATTCTTCTCACAACGGTCCTCCTTTTACGTTTACGGTTTTAAGTGGGAATGAAGATAACACTTTTAAGATCAACCAGCAAGGGGTGATAACGACGTCGGCCACGCTTAACCGAAAAACCACTGATCACTTTCTCCTGCAAGTTCAGGTACAAACAGTGGCAAAATACTGTATATAAATTCACTGCGGCTTACACGGCCTCCAGAGTTACAGCTCACAAATGATAAATATATCATATATACCCAAAACATCAGCCTGCTTTAAGTATATGTAATCCCAATAACTTAAATCTCACATAATCTTTCATTTGTTAATGTAATTTTAAAGTCATTTTTAATACTTTAAAATCTGCTGTTTTCATCAAAATAACAAAAGGTAATCCTGTCATGAAGGTCCTTGTTTAGGCATTTTCTGTTATGGGGTGACAACACTCTGCCCTGTCTCTTAGTTGCTCTTCTACTTTGTCAGCCTGTTACAAGCACCTCTAGTGGAGACCACAGGTTGCTTTTTCAATGCACATTATGCAGACATGGTCCACTGTTGTCACCATCAGGAAACACAACCTAAGAAATGCCATGTAGACATCGAGTGCGTGCATGTAGAAAGGGAAGTAATTGCAAGGGGGCTCCAAAAAATCAACAGCCCTGAGGTGCAACAGTGGATAAAAAGACATTAAAAGGTAAAAACATTGTATTTAAAATGATGATTGTTTGATACACAGTTCTTTAGTAAGCTACATTTTATTCAGTTAGGGTTAACATTTATTGTAATCCAGCAATAAAAAAGCAATGGTGCTCAAAGGGGGTTCACATTTTCAGAATGTAAGAAGAAGGGCACATGGCTAGTCACCAGTATTGCCTGTGGTCTCCCTGCAGCTGATATTTTCCCCAATACTGACTTCCCATGCCCGTGTCTCTGTGTGGAGGCAGCCATCTTGTGAGAAACAGAGCTTTGCTTTCCTTTTGATAGAGCCTCCAGCTAGGGTAACAGTGAGCAGCACATCTCATGCCAAATCTCCTGAGACTAGAACTCAGAGGCAGCAGTGCCTTAGATCTCACACCTCAGATATATGCTATGAGTCTGTAGGCGCAGGCACAGTTCAAGTGTATTGCTATTTTTTTAGAAGGAATTCCAGGCAAAATGCTTTTTTCAGGATACTGCTTAGATGCAATCAACACTTCACGATGTTCCCTATACTATAGCAAATCTTCACTTCCAATCACCACATAAAGAGTCCATTGCTGTGGTTTAGTACACAGTTTAGCAGTCCAAAGACACTAGACACCTGCCAGGAGAAAGTCCTGAAACTCCCATGTTCATAGATAAAATGGTCCAGAGTTTCCAAGCTGCTCTCACTTGGCAGAACCTCCCATTAGTACCTTTCTGCTTCACTTAACCTCACAGTGACCATGAAAGGACCCATCACCTGTACAATGGGGGATATACCTTCCGCCTAGGACCTATCACTGGATATCTGAAAACATTCAGTTTTTACATATTGCCATATTGTCATTACCCTAGAATGTCTTTCATAATTAATCACGCTCCATTTCTCACTCTTCAAAATAATTAGTCATATCACAGTTATATAGAAGCGTGGTACAATATTTATTTTCAAATATATCTGTTATGACTGAAACCTATCTAAATATAATAAGTGATAAGTAGTTTATTTAAATAGGTTGTCCAGGCTTCGCCTGCCATAAAACATGATTAATAAAGAGGTGGAGATGCAAGGGACTGTACAAAAATGGGAACTAATAAGGCTGGAATATAATCAGTATCACAAAAAGGATAAACTAAACAATCTATATGGTAAATCAGCTGTAGGCAAAGTCATTCAATTGCCTTTACTAATGTGAAAGCTGAACTCCAGGCAGATTTAAAAAAAAAACTATTAACTATTAAATCAAAATCATAAAACTAGCACATGTACCTGATTATTTCCTGTTATCAGCATCCTGTAATCTCATACAGAGCAGTGCTCAGATTGGAAGAGGGAAGGTTATCACATGCTTACAGACATGCTTAAAGATCAGAGTGTGCTGTTTCTGCCTCATTGTCTGAGGGCAGGTTGGCAAACAGATTGTATTGCCTAAGCTGGCCATACACTTATAGATTATGTGCAGGTTTTCTACAGATAGATTCCTCCATATACGCTAAACTGTGTGGATGGAGGAATAACCCGCTGGGCCAAGCTTCAGTATCTTGCTAGTCGGCCCCGCTGGCTCTCAAAATAACTGAACAATCTGTTTGGATGCAGGCATTGTTCAGGTATTTTGAGAGCCAGAGGGGCTGACTAGTAAGATACTGAAGCTTGGCCTAGTAGGAGATTCCTCCATCCACACAGTTTAGCGTAGATGGAGGAATCTGTTGCACTTTTTCCATCTGACCATAGAAAATCTGCCGATAATCTATAGGTGTATGGCTAGCTTAATTTGCAGTATAGAAAATTGAGGAACCGAACTGTTTATACTGGGGTCTATTCACGAAGCAGCCGAAGCATCTAGCCGTAGCTTCGGCCGATCCTCCGGCTAGCTTCGGCCCCAGGACCCCTTCACAATAGCCCGTACAGCTCCCGAGCTTAGCCGAGCTGCTCAGTCGAGCCGAAAGCATATGCCTCGGCTCGGCTGAGCCGCGTTGAAAGCCGAAGCTGGCCGAGCGGCCGGCCATTGGCCGGCCGACAGCCTGCTTCTGCCAGGATGGCTCCGGCCACTTGCAGAGAAATCAGCGTCCCTGGTTACCAGCTAACCAGGAACACTGATCTCCAGACAGCAAACTCTCCTGCTCCCGGCCGCCCAGGAGAGAAACACTGCTTTCCCGTGTCAGAAAAAAAATAAAAAAATTTGCCCATTGGAATGCATTGTTACATTACTATTGGCTATTTCAATTTGCAATAGCCAATAGTAAACTAGCATTGCACCCACCCTCTGCTGATAGACCTGATGGAGAACTGCAGCAGAGGGCGGCTGCAATGCTAGTTTACTATTGGCTATTGCAAACTGAAATAGCCAATAGGAATCTAACAATGCATTCCAATGGGCAAACACATTGAATAAAGAAAAAAAAAGAAAAATCAGTGTTTCTCTCCTGGGCGGCCGGGAGAGTTTTTTTTATTGACGGCAGCAGAACCGCCGGCCAATAGAAGACTATTGGGCGGAGCTAGCTGTCATTGCTAGCTCCGCACAATGGTTTTCTATTTATTTTTTTGGACTTTTTAAACAATTTTTCTGTTCTGCTTGGTCCCTCTGAGGGACCGAGTAGAACAGCCGAGCTCATCGGCATTCGGCTATTCACTCACTGCTGTTCGGCATCTATAAGGATAGACCGAACAGCAGCGAGTAGCCTGCCGGAGGTTCAGCTTAGCCGATCCAGATGTTAGATCGGCTGAGTCGAACTCCTCCTGCACTTCGGGTTGGCCGAACATGCAGAGCACATGTGCACAGTAGGGTGTTACCTTGTGGTGTGGTGTGCTGCAACGCAAGTTCATCAGAGCTGCGCTGCCTTTGGGGTGCATTTAAAATGAATGGCACCAAAACACGCTAATCCACATAAGGTCTGTTAACATGCTTTGTGGAACGCATGCATTAATGCAATGTACCACATTAGAGAAGTGTAAATGTTCACCAAAGGTAACTCCATAGTTTTCCTACCATTGCTGTACTTATAAGGCATGTACAATAAAGGTTAATTGCATGTATACTTTGGTACTTTTTTTTTTAGTTTTAGTGTATGTGTTAGTAGCTCTGCTTTCAGAGCTCGTTATTGCATAGCTGTCAGTAAATACTTTATGATGTGCATTGTTCATTGGAGAAGAGATCTCAGAGATTACTGTGGTTTCCGCACAGTAGCAATGCTGAGCCCATACTGAAAACTGATGCCTAGGCGATTTACACTCGCTTAATTAAGCCTAATACTGCTGTGAAACACTTCCTGTTGGTTTAAATAAAAGAGAATCAAACACCAAGTACACAGAAGACCTATTATTCTGTCCTTAATTGTTCTCTGACCCAATGAATTCTTTCCATGCTAGTAATCTTGGATTACTAGCTTTGTTTCTTTACTGTTTGTTTCTTTTGCTAAGATTTGATTATGCCTCCTACAGTATGATGTACGACTCAAACCTATTTAATTCTGACACAAGCTTATTAAATGATAACAGTTGCTTTTATTACTTGAAGAAGGCAAATTTATAGATACATTTTCAGCACATGGATGATGTTTTGATAGTCGGCAGAGGTTAATTTGCATCTAGTATATCTGATATAAAACCTGCAGATTGTGAAATGTTGCATGTAGAAAGTGTTCAGCTATTAAGAATTTTTATAGCGTACCCATTGCTGGACATACTTCTGTTTTTAAATATGCTTTACTGCCACCTAGTGGTAAAGAGCACAGCCACACACTTTAACTGAAAGCTGATTGGAGTTCTTTATAGTATGTTTTCGGTAAAGCCCATTGTTTATCTTGTGCATATTGTCATATATCATATAGGTGTAATGTTATGCCATAGCAAAGAAGCATAATTACACATGTGAGTTCCAGTTGTTGACAATAAAAAAGCATTGCCTCTTGCATGAACAGCAATATCTTGAAGGAAATGTTTTATAAGACCTAGGAATCTATAAAATATGTTCCATGCTTGACAGTGGGGGGTTCAATAGTTCCTAGTGCAAATGATTCTCATTATTAGGACAGGAGCATCAGCCATCATTAGAGTCCCTAGAGACACCTAAAAATCAGGTTTTTTTAGGCCAGTTTAAAATGAATTGAATGGATCTCTGAATTTAGCTGAATCAGTGGTTATATGCACATTTAATGACACTGGGAATTACTCTATAAAAAGAAATAAAAAGCATATACCTGCATGTGAATGTGATCCTTAAGATCAAAGCTGCCTTTCTCTGACTGTTGGAAATAATATGTGGACTTGGGGGGGTCAGAGAACACTCTGCTCACAAATCTGATTGCAATTTGCTTTGTTTAACTTTGATTATTTCATTCCACTATAAATAATGCCCATACACTTTACAACCATCGCAATATCTTAGTCTTGGACAGGCAGATGAGGGGCGGGCTTGCGATGACCGCAATGCTGAACGGGCAGTGTGCGCGTGCGCACACCGACCCGTTCAGCATTTGTCTCCCGAGCATCATTCAAACCAGCCGAAAATCATAAGATTTTCGGGTGGTTTTCTAGCATGCTCCTTAGACAAAAGACGTGCGACCGTACAGTAGAAACGGTCACACGTCTTCATTCACACTGCACGATTCTTGTACGATCGTGGAATTTCCCGTGATTCTCGTACGAGAATCGTGCAGTGTATGGGCACCTTTACAATGCTGGTCAACTGAGATGACAGCCCAGGTGTGGCCCCTGTTATCACTAAATGGCTGCACATAATGCTTAGTGTATGTAATGCTACAGAAAATGGTCAGAGACTGGATATGCCACAGTAGATGGTCAGAGTCAGCAGGCAACTGGAAAAAAAAACTGTTTCCCCTAAAATTAAATTTTAAAACATTTATTATTACCCATTTTTTTCTGTAAAATATAAAAGACGCGGTCACGTCGGGTAAAAATTCACCAAACATGTCAAGCCTTAAAATTGCGCATGCACGAAAACTAAAAAAACTACATTTCCCAAAATTGGCGATAGGCTACGCTTTAAAAGCATTTGCCGCTCATCAGTTTAGTGTTATCAGTGATTGATGGCCCTAAAATCACTTCGACGTTCGCGGCGATATGTAACATGTGTAGCGCAATTGACGCTGATCGGTTGTATGTGAAACAGCCGTTAACGGCTGTAAAAACGAGCGGGTCTTCCCTGCCCCTGCGCTAGGGGGGCGCGCGCGAGCAGGAAAAAAAATGCCGTCTGGAGACGGCAACCCGCTAAAATAAAGGTTGTACATCATGCAGGATTCATTTTCATTTTTTAGTTGTTGATAAACCCCATGATATTGTGTGCAATCCTTTGCAAAACAAACATAAGCCAGTATTCCCTTGTAATCTGTATACAGCATATTTTACTTGCCTTTTGCTGAAAAACACATTCTTTTATGTAACTTATCTTTTTTTTTTTACCTCCAGGTGGCAGATAATGGGAAGCCACAGCTGTCATCGGTGACAAACATTGACATACGGGTGATTGAAGAGAGCATCTACCCTCCAGCCATTTTACCACTTGAAATATACATCACAACATTTGGAGAAGAGTACTCTGGGGGTGTGATTGGAAAGATTCATGCCACGGACCAGGATGTTTATGATACACTCACATACAGCCTGGATTCCAAAGTGGAAAATCTGTTTTCCGTTTCAAGCACAGGGGGGAAACTGATAGCACACAAGCGATTGGATGTTGGCCAATATCTGTTAAACGTCAGCGTTAGCGATGGAATGTTTACAACCTCAGCAGATATTACAGTTCATATCAAACAGATAACCCAGGAGATGCTAAATCACAGCATAACATTCCGTTTTGCCCATCTCTCTCCGGAAGAATTTATTGGAGATTACTGGCGCAATTTTCAGAGAACGTTGAAAAATATTTTGGGAGGGCGCAAAATTGATGTCCACATTCTTAGCCTGCAACCCTCTGACCCACCTGCTAGCCTGGACGTCCTGCTGGCTGTAGATAAACCAGGCAGTATGCGTTTTGTTCCAAAACTTCTTATCCAAAAGATAAATGCTTCTGTAGCTGAGATCGAAGACTTCAGTGGGGTTAAAATCCTTGAGGTCTTCCATAAGCTCTGTGCTGATGTGGATTGTCCCCTGAGGTTTTGTGATGAGAAGAAATCTGTAGATGAGAATGTCATGTCAACACACAGCACAGCAAGGCTAAGCTTTGTGACTCCAAGACACCTGCGAAAATCTGTCTGCTTGTGCAAAGGTAAGCAACTCTGCCAAGCAACACAAAGTGGGTGGCAGCTTCTGTGTATGTGTTTATAAACTGCATATATAATGATAATGTCATCTTTCTTATTTCACAGGAGGGAAATGTCCAATTTTGAACAGTATTTGCGAAGGAAATCCATGCCCAGAGGGTATGGAATGTGTTGTAAATGCAAATGAAGAGAAGTACAACTGTGTCTGTCCAGATGAACGGCAATGCAATAGTAAGATGTTCCTGCATGAATGCTATACAATAAAATAGTATTTTGTTTATACCAGATAAGAATTCCATCTGAAATCATGAAAGTAATAACAGAATTAGAATAAATAGGACTGTAGATATAGGATGTATACTTGTCTGCCCAATCTGATACTAAAGTCGGGATTAGTTCATAGATCTGATAGACAACTCTAGAGTGAGCGGTGAGGGTGCAAAGTCACTAGAGAAAGTTTTGAATTACAGGACTTTACAATTGACGTCTGGGTGTTATTATTATTATACAGGATTTATATAGCCCCAACAGTTTGGGTATAGGCATAATGTTATATTATTAGATTATTAGATTTTATATACCAGGCATACGCCATGCTCACCCTTCACCTAAACTGGTGTTTGTAAGTTGGGATGGTTTCTTTAACAGGTATCAAAAAATTTTAAATCTGCATTTACCAGGAGAAGAAGGTTTTATCAGTTTTAAGTTGAAGAAGAATGCCAGGAAATGTAAACATAAATATCTGCAGTGGGGCTAACAAAGGTTAACTGCTCGCTTTTCTTTAAACTAAAATAAGGAAATTATACACCTCTGATCCTCAGTCTTGCGGTGGTAAACACTCACCCCCCCCCCCCCCAGCCTCCGGCGCGGAAATGTCCTTG